TTGAATAGAAAAGGTGGGCCTGATTTACACTGTCAGTAGCAGACATAGTCTAACAAAAAAGTGGTAACTAATTATCTGCCATCCTATATATATATTTTTGTTTTGTTTTGTTTTGTTTTTTACTTACAGGAGCAGTTTATATATCCTCCCACTTTTATGATAGAGAAGTACTTTCTTCCCATTTTATTTTCTGAAATGGTCTGAAAATGTTTTGATCCACTAGCTAGCTGTAAAAACGACTCTTTGGTTTTTTTTCTAGAAGAATGTATTCAAGACATAGAGGCAGAGAATTTCATAAAAGCACCTAAGCATAGTACAGGCTATCCTCGACTTTCAACGTTTCGAGTTACATTTCACACTTACAACGTTTATAAATTGACACCCTGTTTCAACTTTACAATGCTTGATCTGATGCAACGCCACGCCAGTGAACAAGCTTGCTGTACTGCCCATCTCCCTGGAGAACATCTGTCCAAACTTCCTTGGACACTTTCTTTAAGAAAGCAGACAAGTCTCCAGAAAAAAACTGCAGCCAAGACTCCTGAGAAAACTCCAGCCAAGAACCCTTCAAAAAGTCCAACTAAGAGCCCTTCAAAAGGTCCAGCAAAGCCACCTCAAAGAAGTCCTTCCAAATCAATATGATTGCTATTTACAACATAAATACATTAATGTAGCTATATTGCTCATCTATAAATTGATTGAGTACAAAATTCTGGGGTATTTTTGGTGAAAATAGGGTATCGGGCCTTGGTTCAGAAACCAATCCCCCATTTATAACATAGCTTCCTACGGGAAAATTGGTTCCGAGTTATGACATTTCGACTTAAGATGCGTTTTTTCAGGAACCAATTGTGTCGTAAGTCCGAGGACTGCCTGTAATACTATTTTTATTTTTACCCACGGAGAAAGAATAGGATAATTCTAGTTTTAGATTGTTTTACAGCTATAGTGGTATTTCTAGTGACGTCATTAATACAGAAGGCCGTCTTATTCTCTGAATGTATGAGAGAACAGACCACTGTGGGCCACTGAACCAAGACATGAGAAAGGACTGGATTTTCTTTTATGCACAGGTAGGTCACTGGAGCTGTATCACCATTAATTTGCTTTGGGAGGCTGGACTTGTCACTTGACTTCTGTGTTTTGTTCTGCCCCCCAAACTAGAAAACAGGGTAAAAATCTTTAACATAATTAAGTACAGTGGAGAAAGCTCTGCTCCTACTCATCTTCTTGTGCCAGGGTCTAGCACTACTGCAGTTTTGCCTCGGCTGCCCCAACAATCAACAGTTCCTCCCTTCTGTTACAGTTGTGGTTCAACCCTACAGCCAAGTCAGTGAAAGATAAATGAGTGAACTGTGACAGTACCGAAGTCTAAACCCAGCATAAACACAGGCAAAAGGAACCGTTAGCCCCTTGGGCTCAGCTTTCGGTCAGACTCCAGTCTGACCCAAGACCCACAAACAGCAACTAATCAATAGTTTACAGCAACAGTCTGTCTTCAGGCTTATGCTCCTACAGGGAGACCCCATCTAGCAGGTTTTCTGATCGAGGCCAGGAACTACCTAACTATCTCCTCACACACCATGGAAGCCCATCCAGCAATAATCTACAGCCAAGTCTGACATTTCCATCTGCAGCATGCTTTTCAGTAGTTAAAAAGCTCTGCAGGCAAAATGAGATGCAAAATAACCTATCCTTACTGAATGGGAATTGTCAGTGTGCTTAGCACATTAAACTCAGGAAAACAAAATGCCTATCCCTATAATTAACGTAGGGATTAGTAACCCAGTACAGTTTAGAAACACACACATCAGTACAGTTGTTATTTCAGTATGTGGTAGGAGATGCATTAAATTGATGCCAGATCAGTAAAGTTTCTATTGTTTTGAGTTTGGGATGACCACATCATTCATGACCAGGGAAACCACAAATAAGCTGAGTTGTTCATCCCAACCAAGCTGATATAATGGTATACCACAGCACAGCATCACAAAATCTGTCAGTTATTTCATGGATTTTAGGGTCAGAAGGAACCTATTAGATCACTGAGTCTGACTCCCCAGGAAAGAGGGCTGGGGTCAGATGACCCCAGCCAGGTGCTTGTTCAATCTCCTCTTAAATACCCGCAAGGAAGGGGACAGCACCACCACCCTTGGAAGCATATTCCATATTTTGGCAACCTTCACTGTAAATAATTTTTTCCTGATGTTCAACCTAAATTTACTCTCCTTCAGTTTGTGGCCAGTGTTTCTAGTTACCCCAATGGGCGCTCTCGTAAACAATGTATCCCCTATTTCCTGCTGTTCCCCCCCCCCGATGAGTTTGTAGATGGCCACAAGATTCTCTCTGAGCCTTCTCTTGTGGAGGCTGAAGAGATTCAGGTCCCTCAATCAGTCCTCGTAGAGCTTTTCCTGTAGGCCTTTAACCAGACAGGTGACCTTCCGCTGAACCCTTTCTAGGTTATCTACATCCCTCCTGAAGTGCGGCGCCCAAAACTGGACGCAATACTGCAGCTGCAGCCTCACCAATGCCACATAGAGGGGAAGTATCACCTCCCTAGACCTGTTTGTGATGCACCTACTTTTGCAAGAAAGAGTGCAGTAAGCTACTTATTACTTCATCACATTGGCGACTCATGCTCATTTTGGAGTCAACTACAGACTCAGAGATTCCTTTCCACAGTTGTGCTACTAAGAATGGTACCTCCCAGGCTATAGGTGTGTTGATGATTCTTCCTCCCTAGGTGCAACACATGGCACTTATCTTTGTTAAACTGCGTCCTGTTCTGTTCCGCCCACTTCCCCAACCTGGATTCACTCCCTGCCCTCTACTTTGTTTACCTCCCCCCCCCATAGTTTGGTGTCATCTGCAAACTTGGACAGAGTGCTTTCTAATCCCTCGTCCAAGTCACCAATGAAGATATTGAACAGTACCAGTCCCAGGACAGAGCCTTGGGGGACTCCACTGCCCACATTTCTCCAGGTAGAAACTGATGCATCCATCACCACTTTGTGTGCATCCCATAAGCCAATCTTCCACCCACCGGACTGTGTAATAATCTACATTGCAACTGTTTAGTTAATTTATAAGAATTGGCTGCAACAGTGTGTCAAAGACCTTTTTAAAATTTAAGTAAATAACATCTACCTCTATTCCTTCATCCAAGCATTTTGTGAACCAGTCGTAAAAACAAAACAAAACAAAAACAGGTTAGACAGGCAGGATCTGACTGCTATGTGTCACAACCCAATTAAGTAGTACCCATGTCACAAGCAAATAAAACCATTCAAAACAGTTTTTTTCTGCACTAGGTTAATTAAGGGTTAACAAATGATAATAACAGCTTTTTTTTTTGCTGCGCATGTCAAAAAGAAATTTATAACTGCGACACCAACATAAAATAAAACTTAGCCTTCTGTGCTGTACATAAATCATTATAATTGGTCAAAGAAAACAAGGAGTAACCCTGTGATAATACTCTAGCGAAGACGGCGATTCTAATTAAATTTATGACGTGGCAAAAAGCAATTGGCTATTATACAAATAAAACCTGTCTTCACTTCCGTGAAGAAGGGGAGACCTCCGCACACGTAACCTGGAGACCTCTGAACGTATGCGTCAGAGTAACTGACAATTTGATCACCTCCCCGCGTCTCGACCCAATCTCAGACGTAAATCAACGACCTGCCGGCCCGACCTTTTCTCTGTCCGACCACCGAACTCTTATGCAGACCGACCTACAACCTATAAGCTGTAACTAACCAAGTATTTCTAACCTCCGTCCTTCACCACCTTGACGGCGTGAGTAAATAATCTTGCTTTGCAACCGATAAGCGTCCGCCTAATTAATTCCACTCCAAGCGTCACAAGTACCCGCCTAACGGCCTTCTAAGGCCCCAGACCCTTATCTGCCCGGGTGGGAGTCAGGGAGAGCTGCTGGCTGGCTGCCCTGGGTCCCGACACTATGAACCCATGCTGGTTGCCCATTAGCATTTACCCACTGGTCCCCCACAAATGTGATCCTTAACAATTTTCTCAAAGGTCTTGCTAAGGATAGAGGTGAGGCTAACTGGCCTATAGTTACCTGGTTCCTCCTTCCTCCCTTCCTGAAAACAGGGACCACACTGGGCCTTTTCCAGTCCTCTGGGACCTGTCCTGAGTGCCATGAGTGCACAAACAGTCGCACCAGTGGTTCCGCTATGACTCCAGCTAATCCCCCAAGTAACCTAGGATCAAGATCATCAGGGCCTGTTGACTTAAATACATTCAACCCCTCCAAGTGCCCCTTTACTAGGTCAGCACTAACAGTGCTAAACTGTCATAACAAACACTTTGGGTTGAGAGCTTTTAGTTACTTTGACATGGATCTTTCTCTCTCTCCATTAAGAAAACCAGATTCCATCAGAATCTGGAACCCAAATATGCAGTACCCTAAAACAGAGGATCATCATCAGTATTGTTAATTCATCTCTAAAAGTGACTGAAGTAGCTTGTCTGTGTGTCAACACACAAAGCCTGCCAGCCTTTTTTTACAGCATTCCAGGGCTAGATAAGTATTGCTTATACTACCAAAAAAGCAAAATTTTTATGAAAAGGCTTCTACTTTTAAGACTACCAGGTCATTCACTATCAGACCTCAAAATGTCATTGATCTAGGACCACATCCTGAATTTCAGATGAATATTCCAAGGAGAAAATATTGTATGTTGGGGAAAGGAAAAATAAACAGCCTAACATAAAGGCTATTTGAAGCTTCTCAAAGGGTTGGAATCTTAAGTTCCATGAAGATGAATTTATGGACAGGGCATGTCTCCTATGTCTAAAGAAAAAAAACCCTCTTGTAGCCATGCTCATGTGCTACCAGAGTGTTATTATTATATTATTATACTGTAAATCCTTTTGAGTTAGTGCTAAAATATATTCCTTTTGGAACAATTAGGCTTTAAATGACCTTTTAAAAAAAAAGACCCCAAGTAGAAATGAAGAACCACAGTACTTACCAGAATATCCCTTTGTCTCTGCTCTCTATGTCTATAAAGCCAGATTCCAAAAACATGTCTTTGTAGATTCGTCCCGTTAGGCAGTACATATCTGAAGCTACCTGGTCTTCATGTTGCACCAGGGGTATCATAATTTCTAGAGCCTTCTCCTTATCTCCAGGTAGATTTCGCCTATTAAAATGCATGCATAAATGTTTTAGTCTAAAATCAACAGAGTAGCAGGACTCCATAATGCTGTACAAATACATATATACATGTTTTACCCTAATGAAACATGTATCTAGGCATCAAGCCACGGGTCCTATGATCTCAATTGCCCTTGCCCAAGGACACCATTTTACACTGTTTTGTAACTATGTTAACCGACTGCTTTGATCCAACTATTAATTTTTGAAAGACTGAAAAAAAATTCACATACACCACCAAGGACATTAACCCAAAAAACTATAACAAAAGAGAAGCCACTCTCAGACTGTGAAATTGAAAACACTAAAGTAAGTAAATGTTTTTGAAAATATGCAAACAAAAGATTTAATTTGGATTTTAGTCTCCAACACAAGCATTTTTATACATTTAAAAATACAGATCACATCTTGTGACTGTAAAAGTATTTTGAGAAAAAAAAATGAATGCAAGTATATTAAATTCCCAGGAGAGTTAGGAAACCAAGATGATGAGGTAATATTATTCACAAGGAAAGAATAATTTATATACATCTGCTACATACTGTGAACATTAGATACTTGCTGATGACTCTCTGATTGGATGCAGATATCATTCGCTATCAGGATTTCAGAATTTGCTTAAATATTACTTAAATCTGCAACGAACTAGCAAATAGCTCATATGTCAGCAAAAATATATTCTTGCAGTCTGGCTTTTCCCATTTTGAGAGCTAAAATAGAAGAAGGGTGATAGGAGGCACAGGGAGGTACAAGACCAAAAGGACTGTAAATATTTCATTTAATGTAACTAATACTGTTTTCCTTGAAACCAATGTAAAAAAAGCCATATAGCTTCCAACAGACATGAAGATTGGCAAACTAGTTAAATGGAGAAGTAATAAAGCGATTCTCTTTTGCTTTTGCAAACTGCATCACAGCTTCAAATACAACTGCATCACAGCTTCAAATACAGGATTTGAATTTTTAAAAAGTAGTAAGAAGTCAAATGCAGGAAGCAAACAATGTTTTTGGTAACCTCATAGTTTGTTTTTTTAATGTGACCTATAAACACAACTTTGTCTGAAGAAAAGCACATGCTGCAAGACGTGTAGACTGCTTCTGTAGGCAGTTAACTAAGGAGCTGTGCGATTCCTTCTAAGGGCCTGAATCCAGTAGCTTGGAAATATTACTTAAGAACTTAGAAAGACTAGAGAGCAAAATAAGTACTTTCAAGTAATCTGGTCTCTGTTCATGGAAGTTACATGAACCATGATCAAATTTTGCCAGGATTTCTGAACACAAAACACTGTAAATTACTTTCAAAACCTTGCATGCAACATTTATTTTATAAAAGCCACACTTCAGAGCTTGTTTGATCAATGCTTACATTTAACAAACTTTAAGCATTCAGAACTTTGGGCTTATGTTCTGAGCCAAGCACAGTAAACTGGATTAAAAGTTAGTTCAAATTTGCTTGGACTGATTTTACTTTGACACACTGCTTTTAAATAGGCCTAATAAATACTGAATGATTTTTCAATACCACACAAACTAAATCCACAAAAATAAGACAGTACTACAATACAGCAGTACACAGAAGTCCTCTTTCAATGGCAGGTATACAAATTCCTGGTAATGTAAATGACTGAAAAAACACATGGTCACTGCAGTACAAATTACTAATCTGAAACAACTATCAAATAATTTCATGTCTGACTTTGCACTGCACACCAAAGCTACTTTCAAGAGGCGTTTATATTACACAGAAGAAGAAACACTTACAAATCTGCAAAACTATGAATGGTTTTCAGCAAAGGGTATCTGATATAGGGCTTTCCTGAACACAAAACTCTTCTAAACTATGTTTACACAGAACTGTTGTGTACTCAGTTGCCTTAAACAAGCATGTCAGCTTGCTGATAAGGGGCAAATTTAGAAAAAAAACCTATTTAAATAATAGAAACATACACAAATTCTTCTCCTACAAAGCATTCCTGTTCCCTAGTAGTAAATCTATCTGTTTCTCCCTTCACATGGTTCAGGAAGATTGGGGAAGTTCTAATTGTCTAGGCCAGGGGTGCTCAACCTCTGGCCTGAGGGCCAAAACTGGTCTGCAGAACAATTGAATCTGGCCGGCGGGACTCCCCAAAGCCTGAATAAAAGGCTGAATTACTGTATTACTGAATTTCTCTGCTGCCAATTCCCCACTCAAGTTGGAAAATTTAACAGAGAAGTGCTGACAATTAATACTGCCACTTTTTCCCTGCTGCCAGAATCCAAGCCCTGTGTGAAGTGTCACAGCAGGGCCATGCCCTTCCGCCCCACAGGACCAGGCCAAGCTCCCTTCCCTAACAGAGCTGGATTGGGGCTGGACTGCCCCCACCCCAGGTACCAGAAAAGCTGAGCATGTACAAGCCTGTGGGGCCAGATGAGATGCACCCAAAGGTGATGTAGCAGTTGGCTTATGTAATTGCAGTCACTGGCTCTTATCTTTGAAAACTCATGGTGATCTAGGAAGGTCCCAGATAATCAAAAAAGGGCAAATATAGTGCCCATCTTTAAGAAAGGGAAGAAGGAGGATCCAGGGAACTACAGACTGGTTAGCATCACCTCAGTCCTTGGAAAAGTCATGGAGCAGGTCTTCAAGCAATCCATATTGAAGCACTTGGAGGAGAAGGTGATTAGGAACAGTCAGCATGGATTCAGCAAGGGTAAGTCATGCCTGACCAACCTAATTGCTTTCTATGATGAGATGACTGGCTCTTGGATGCGGGGAGACCAGTGGACATGATATACCTTGACTTTAGCAAGGCTTTTGCTACTGTCTCCCGCAACATAAAGAAGTACGGGTTGGATGAATGGACTGTAAGGTGGATAGAAAACTGGCTGGATCTTCAGGCTCAAAAGATAGTAATCTATAGCTCAATGTCTAGTTGGCAACTGATATCAAGTGGAGTGCCCCAGGGGTCAGTCCTGGGACCCATCTTGTTGAATATCTTCATCAATGATCTGGAAGATGAGATGGACTGCACCCTTAGCAAGCTTGCAAAGGACATGAAGCTGGGGGGAATAGTAGGGAAGCTGGAGGGTAGGACTAGGATTCAGAGATACCTTGACAAATTGGAGGATTGGACCAAAAGAAAGCTCATGAGGTTTAATAAGGACAAGTGCAAAGTCTTGCACTTGAGACAGAACAATCCCATGCACCACTATAGGCTGGGGGCTGGCTGGCTAAACAGCAACTCTGCAGAAAAAGACCTGGGGGTTACAGTGCATAATAAGCTGAAGATGAGCCAACAGCGTGCCCTTGTTACCAAGAAGGCTAACAGCATACTGAGCTGCATTAGTAGGAGTGCTGCCAGCAGACTGAGGGAAGTGATTCTTCCCCTCTATTCAGCATTGGTGAGGCCACATCTGGAGTACTATGTCCAGTTTTGGGCCCCCACTACAGAAAGGATAGGGACAAATTGGAGAGAGTCTGAAGGAGGAGAACAAAAAGGGTGAGGGGGCTGTCATGACACATGACAGAGGCTGAGGGAACTGGGCTTATTTAGTCTGGAGAAGAGAAGACTGAGGGGGGATTTAATAGCAGCCTTCAACTACCTCAAGAGGGGTCCAAAGAGGATGGAGCTGGACTGTTCTCAGTGGTGGCAGATGACAGAACAAGGAGCAATGGCCTCAAATTGCCAGCAAGGGAAGTTTAGGTTAGATACTAGGGAAAACTCACATTTGGAGGGTGGTGAAACACTGGAATGAGTTTCCTAGAGAGGCTGTGGAGTCTCCATCCTTGGAGGTTTTTAAGTCCTGAATAGACAAATCCTTGGCTGGGATGATATATTTGGAGATTGGATGATCTACTTGGGGATGGTCCTGCTTTAAGCAGGGCTTTGGACTAGATGACCTCCTGAGGTCCCTTCCAACCTTTTCTCTGATTATAACCCTCTAACACTGACAGGAGTCGTCCATATCTGTACTGACTAGTCAGCAGTGGGACTTGCCCAGCTGCTGAGGACCTTTTATATCACAACTTTTCTTCTCAAACTCTGCCTGGGTAAAGCTGTAGGGCCGTGATTTTCATCCAGAATGCCATGGCAACCTTGGATGTCTTGAGAGGCTTTCAAGGGTGCCAGGGGTTGCCCCACAATGTTAGCACTGTTAGGTGTGCAAATGTGATTCAAAAGATAAACCCACAGTTTTCCCCATAGGAATCCATATTGTCAAACACATTCTGACCTGTCGTGGTCTTTGCGAATTCTCTGCAACAAAAGTATTGTGCTATTATTTTTCAGTAGTAAAAAAATTAAAATCAAAGTCTGGGATTTTCCAAGGGGTGTCTAGAGTCTAAAAAGGTTTAGAACCACTGCTATAAAGGTCAAGTAAGTGGCCTCTTCAACTCCTTTGTCACAGAGAGATCCAGTTCAGGAAATGTTGATCTACAGAGTGGGATCTGAGCTGAATAACCTCTCTAGCTAGCTACTAGTAAACTAAACAAACACTGTGCCACATGGACTTCATGGAACAATAAACTAAACAGACAATACATGAGAACGTTTTGTGATGAGAAATGAGCCACTGTACTCTTTCACTGCCCAAAGACAGGTGGTCTACCCTGTTCCCCCTCTCTTCCTTGCCCTTTATCTCTACAAACCTCCTTATTTTGGTCACAAAACTTCTGGCTAGAAGTTACTCTACCCTTTCTTTCTAGTGCCCAATATTGAATAGGTCATCATTTCAAAATAGGAGGTAGGGGGAGATGGTATCTCCCACAGCTAATGTCATTGCTATTCTGCACAATTACAACCTTGCAACCAGAGCTCTTATAATCACAACCTCAACATTCCAGACTGGACCTAGAATAGGCAGTATCCCTGAATAAGAATCTCCCAAGAGAGCATGGACACTGAGCATGAGCAGTACCTTCCTCACTGACTTAAGCACACTAAGTGTGAACATTTTCATGGCTGCCGCTGATCCCAGTTGAATTTACAATCTGGAGAAAGAAGAGAGGTGAAATGAGATCTGAACACCTTCCTAGGTACCGTGCAGAAAACCTATATGCCAGATACCCTCTAATGCTCCCTCCTGCAGATCAGCTCTGCCCAACTGGACCCTTGCATCTGTACTGAGTACCATTATAGCTAACGGAGCTCCCTATGGGTGCAAGAGTCTGCTGGCGAGAATTATACTGAAAACTTGGAGCAAAATTTTCAGAAGTGCCTAGTCAACCTTTAGGAGCACAAGCTGCATTTTCAAGATTGACTTATGAACTCAGGAGCTTTTGAAAATTTTACCCTCAGAGTCTAAATTACTTTGATTATAAACACACCATAAGTGTGCACAGTACTTTATGCAGTAAATCTAAAAATGTCAAGCATGTGCCACAAAAAAGTTTGTTGGATTTTTTTCTTAATTCTCTGCAAAGCACCATGCAAATGTATGGCTTTCTATAAACAGACAAATAAACACAGAGGGCATAGAATATACACTTGCTGTACGATACCCGGAAAAGGCCTGGATCTTTTACTCAGGCTGAACCGTGCTAGATAATATTCCTCTTCACCAAAATTATTGGTCCTTAACTTTTCAAGATGTCGTGTGTAAAATTCTTACCATCACCCAGGTTTACTAGAGATTCAGAACTGCTTAAGTACTTTAATGGATGAATATGTTGTGTTCAAAGCTTGTTGTTTCTTTAATAACAAAAGCTCATACCTTTCTTTATTTTTAGGCGTCTTCTACATTTAGAGTGACGGTCACACACAGTGGCACCTTAGAGACTGACTGGTTCAGAGGCATGACCTTGTGTTGACAACAACCTACTTAATATGAAGTCAGGCAGAAGGTTGGGCAGGGTGCTATCTTAAAGACTACCTGGTTCAAAGGCACAAGATTTTGTAGACAAACTACTTTGACAAAACTTACGTCTACAGACTGTTTTAGAGAAGCATTACCTATTGCCAGATAAAATTCATAGATTCCTAGAAGCAGGGTTGGAAAGGACCCTGTAGATCATCAAGTCCAACACCCTGCTCTGGGCAGGAGAGAAAACTGGGCTCAAATGACCCCAGCCAGGAAGACATCAAGCCTCCTCTTAAAGACCCCCAGGGTAGAAGCCATCACCATAAAGTAGGTTATTGTCTAAAAAGTCTGGTGACTCTGAACCAGTTAGTCTGTAAGATGCCTCTCTGCCTAACTTACTGTTTAACTCCAGACTAACATGGCTAACCAGCTCTCTGTATACTTAGAGTAGGATTCTAAATGAACAAAGTTGCCCTGTTCTCATGAAAGACTATGGTAAAACTCTCACTGATTTCAACAGGAGCAGAACAAAAGAGGAGTGTTTGTATAAAGAATTCTGTTGAAAAATCCCATTCTCAATACCTTTAGTTGCTAATATTGTTCCAAACACTTATGCAAAGATCTTGGTTTGATTCTTCTCTGCCCTACATAAGCTACTGAAGATGAAACAGTTTGTGCACATGTTGGAAAAAGCCCAAGTGAAGGGTGTTAAAAAAAGTTTCTAAAAATGACGGATTAAATCTTCTGCGTGACATTTGGAGTAAATATTCTGCACTCCAATAGTATCACATACCCTTCAGTCTTCTGACACCAGCACAAGTAAGATTCAGACATGAGGATGTCTAAACCCATATAACTGGATCCACATTCATAGATTGTTAGGGGCTTGAAAGGACCTTGCAGATCTTTGGGTCCAGCCCCACCCCCAGCACATTGTGCCTCCCAGACAAAACTAAGTTTGTTACGAGTCCGAGTGCACGTTATGAGCATTTTATTTTCCCACTTCAAATTTTGTATTTGCTTAAATTCAGAAGGGTAAGGGAAAGCCAAATACTGATTTACACACATGGAAAAGACAAACAACTACCATACTGAAAGAATAAAAAAAGAAACGATAGTTCAGCAATGAAACTCTTCAGTCTTGAAAATACTTTAATGCAATAGGATATTTTACTTTAGTTTAAGTAGGACTTAACCCCATGCAAGAAAATTCCAATAGAGGTCTTACGCTGTCATTTGGAAAGTTTGGAGTAAAAGAATTACTATTTAATGGAGGAAGGCTGGGAGGGAAGTGTTCTTACCTGTTCAGTGCAAATGCATAATGAAATTTCACATGGTGATGGGAGGCCAAGTCAAAGGTAGGCAGTTTTTCTAATGTTTCCACCAGTTTCACAATAGAATCATAATCCTTTCAAGAGAAGGGGGTGGGGAAGGGGGAATAAAATTTTAAGTGACTGGAACAAGAAATGGTTATATAAATCCCTCCCTAAACAAAGCATTTGTGGTTTTATACTGAGAAGTACATTGTGAATTCCTTATGAACTGCAATTTGTTCAGTCTCCCACTGCAGTTATTCTCAAGCATACAGTCATAATATGAAGGCACAGAGTACTTAGCATTGAAATCAGTGAAGTCATATCTATTATACTGCATCAGTATTGCATCATGTTTATTTTCATGGAACTAGAGCATTTAGCACTTATATTCCATGACTGTGAAACTGGCTTCTCAGAGAATATTAAAAGAAGCATAAATGTATATTATATTGTAAATTGCTTTTTAATTACAAAATAGCCTGAAACTCTTTATGAACAACACTATACGATTTAACTTTATTACTATAAATTATTCTGAATGCTAAAAAAATTATTTTCAACACACCAACTTTTAAAACATCTCGTTTACAGACATGTTTAAAAAAATATCACTGAAGAGATGCAAAATATTTTGCACAATAAACAATCTATTCATAACTGTAGTCAAGCTAGCATACATAATATCTGCAATAATGTTACATACATTGCATAAAATATTGCATACATGTTGCAATAACATGCCATAAACAGGACATAAAACAATCACATATGCATATATAAATGAGAAGAGAGATTACCAAAGTATGGAGAACAATATCATAAAGTAGGACTAAGCAACCCTCTGTATATTGTAACATTTATTATAGCAGAAATAAAACCATTTAAACATCAGCTTGATTGTCTTAGATGCTGTTGGACAAAGTTGTGAAGTAATTATTTTGAAAAGGAACTCCTTGCTAAACTATAGAACTGCAAAATAAAGCATCAGTAAACACTACTGTTTTTCATGAATTTTAATAGGGTCTGATTCACATAACAACATTATTTTATTAGTGAGAAGCTGCCAAAAGGCCTATAAAACCCACTACACCTTTGCACCAAAGGAAAAAATAATTTAATTAGGATTTCTGAATAATGGAGTCATACCTGAATGTCTCTATAAGACAGCAGCAAATTGATAACAATGTCTGCAGACAAGAGTTGTGCAGGTTGCGTGCCTTCCTGATATCATTAAGAATGGATTCCCGGAAATATTGGCTAGAATAAAACAAGCTGATTTTAACACCCATCTTTTAATTGTGTTAAAATAGTGCTGAAGTCCCAGGCATTATTACAACACAAATAAATTAACATTGTTTTAAATACAGCCAGCAGTCAAAAGCTCATCCAATTCACTGTTGTGAAAGAAACACTATTAATATTTAAACAGAGGGTGCAGGCTGCCACATCACCTGGAGGCAAAATATGCCCAATATGTCAAACAGGAGGATGACATATATGTCACAGGAGGATATGAACTGATCTTACCTTGAACTAGCCTGTGCCACCTTCAATAGCTGAATAAAGCGATCCACCAAAGGTAGACATATTGGTCCAAGCAGGGGTTCAAAGCTGGGTTGCATTAGCTCTGTTAATCCCTTCATAAAACTGCTGTCACAGCAGTATACCTTGTTGTGTGGGGTTATCATATAAGGAACGAATATGTAGTTACCAGTACACATCTGTAAAAACAAGATGCAATAACTCAAAAAGAGTTACATCCTCAAGTTAGAAGTAGTTAAATACAATGGAAGAAATCCACTGACATCAACAGAATTTTGCTTCAATGGAAGAAGTTGGAATCAACTTCAAGGAGGCCAGGATTGTAACCTGGACAGTTTTGGATGAAGTTGCTTAAATTTTCAGCTGGAACATGAAATATACCTTAAATGTTCTTTGTTTTTATTTCTGACTTGTTTTCTGAAATCTGAATTCTTTAAGACAGGGATGTCAAACATAGCCCATGGAGCCCCATAATCTGGCCCTGGTGCTGCCCTGTTGATCTACATGCTGCACCAGACTTGCACCGCATGCACCCACAGTGTTCCCTGAGGCTGGGTCCCAGGCTGTGCCACTCACAGTGCTTGCTCAGCCTGGTATCCTGGACCAGCCCAAGCAGATGCCATGTGTATGGATAAGGCATACAGAAGGGAGAGGCCAGATGAGTTTGAAACCCTGCTTTAAAAAGGATTTCACACTCACCCTTCCACAGTTGGTATATTGCCTTAAAAATTATTTTGCTTTCATATCCTGATAATTTGGCCTATTCCTCCAAAAACAAAGCTTTATTCTAAAATGGAAGAATGGGTGGAATTAAAAGTGCCTGATATTCAGATAATAACAACATCACAACCCCTTCAGGATTTGATTCACAGGTTGTCAGGTTTAGAGATGTTGTCAACAATAATACAAGCAACTTGCATTAAACATTGTTTAAGTAAGTAAAATGAATCTTCCTATGGACTGGAAAATTACTCGGTTTAGCACAAGACCTTTGACACTGAGAACCTAACCCCCACTTGTGCCTATGAGCATACATTTTCCTTGTCAGATTAAGCATCTAAGCAATGTTTAGGAAAGCACTACTGTGCTGCGTTCACACCCGTATGTCAACATATGACAGCCACTTTTCATCAGGCTCATATTTATTTGCTTGCCTTGAAAGAAGGAGAATGTGTGCTGTCTGTCTCATGTACCCAAAGGAATATTTACGTTGCGATAAAGATGCTGAAAGGCATCTGAAATACATCAACTGTGAAATACCACACCATCAAAGCCAAGGGGAATTCTATCACTTGAGTGAAGCCAGATTTCACTCCAGCCTAATATTCCTTTAACTAGTCAAAGGGCCATTACACCAGGATAAGATTTAGAGAGGCAATTTGCTTCCTTCCAGAGCATCATGGCTCACAGGCCAGCTCCCTCTTCTCTTTCAGCAGTCAGGCCAAAGGAGATATTTCACAGGTCTCTACAGCAAGTTCGGTCCCATACATTGTAACAACAATGCAGGAACAGTTTTCTAAGACCGGGGCCTAGCGCATACCTTCCCCAATCAAGTACTGAGGAACACAAAAAGAAAGGTGCACACAAAATACAGCTTTGTGCTTACTTTGGTTATACTTTACTGGTGTCATCAACACAGTGATTTAGGTAAGCACAGTTTAGACATTTTAAAAAAATAAAACCCATTATACTAAGATGGTGCAAGACAGGTGATGAGCTCCACACTGCTTTAATGCTATGGCCACTCCCAGAATTTTATATTTATGCTGGGATGCAAAAATATCCAGTACTATATTATTACTTTTTCTCATATCTCTACAACAAGTTTTTGACCATTTTATTACACACGCTTGTGCTCATTTTGAGTGCCTTACTAGTACAGTAGGAATGTTCCCGTAGCTGTGATGGTCCAGGACATGTAAATGAGACACAGATTTTTTTGTGATATCTTTTATTGGACTACCATTACAGTTGGGAGAGGTGCAGAACAAGCTTTCTGGCACAAAGTGAACCGACTTCTTGCATAATACCTTACTAGTAAGTAGTAGTAAATAATTTTACAGTTAAGGACTACTAGCAGGCTCATGCAAGATGGAGACCTCATTATGTTTCTTAGTCATACAGTAAGAGACCATTCCTACCCTGAAGAGCTCAGACAGTCAAAAGCTGGAATGGGGAATAGTGAAATGACTTCCCCAGTATTACACAGCAGGTCAGGGCTGAAGTGGGAATACTCACAGATCAGTAAACTTTCTACTGTTCCCAGGATTATCATCTCCATTCAGCAAATGAGGATCAGAGACACTTCATTTCCCTCAAGATCACATACCAGTTAGTGGCAAAGCTGGGGAACGAACCCAGGTCTCCTGAGTTTCAGCCCAGTGCCTGAACCACAAGACCATATTCTCTCTCTTTCTTTCTTGCTATCTAGGACTTTCTAGATGACATAATTTAGCAAATAAAGAGGTTCCCTCCCTTCCCTTATTTTTCCTTGTATTTATAATATTCAGACTACTTTCAAGGCAGTCTAGAAACATTTAACCTGAATTGCTAGCTGCAAAGTTTAAATTGTCTTCATGTGAATCTCAAACAACTGCAGCTAGCTTGTGCAAGGCCTTGTGCTTCAGGAACACCTTAACTCAAAGTCTGAGCAGGACATGCGTCCTAAGCAGAAGGTCTGCAAGATTTACAAGCCCCCACATGACTTCAAATCAACAGAGCTGAGCAGTGAAGCCATGAGTTTAAATTTCACTGCATATGGACTCATCAATGCAGTGGTGTATCCATGAAGAGAGAACTGAAGATCAGCACCTCAGTATTTTTAATTAACAGTCAAGAAATGCAACAAAAGCAGAAGCCCAAATAGCCTGTCTTCACCTGAAGCATGCTATGCTATCCTGTACTAATATGATGAGGTTAACAGGCCTCTTGATAATCCGAAGGAGAACATGGAAGATGCAGAGTGTTTCTGCTTATGAACAGCAGAGACAGGAAGAGGAAGAAGTCTCCCACAAGGATTAACCGGGAACATTGTTCCCCTACTGCTACTGCTACTCCTACTCCAACAGGAGGCAGCAGCAGTTGGTTTGTGGAGAGTAGGTGGCTTCTCTTCTCCTAACTAATTGGCCTTTCTTAAGAATATGGTTGAGGAGACAAAACTCAGAGAAAGGGCAAAGTGGCTGAGGATTTATTCCTGGAACACGTAGTTTGCTTCTACTATTTATTCAAAGTGTTAAAAAAGAAATAAAAACAGAGGCAAGCCTGTAGGAAAGCTGTTTTGACCTCTGGCATATTTCTTATAAAGCCAAGTTCTTAAAATAAAAACCAAACTCTGAAAAAGGATGTTTTTCAAATTCTGAAACCCACAAGACAAAGTTTATCTTGGCGGGATTATTGGGCCACCTACAGAGATGCAACACTAACACCCTCATAACACTGCAAACAGGAAAACCATTCTTCCTTTGCAGAAGATTTTTGTCATTCATCCTTGAGCAAAAGCTCCTAAGGACCCAATCAAACTGGTTTGTTTTTTTTAATAATATCAATTTGTGAACAGAACAAAAACATAGTCAAGTTCTTCAAACACATTTTTCCTACTACTTAAGAAAAGCAATTGATCAAGTTAACCACACTAAAATGGAACAAAAACTGATTTTCTGCCACTCAACAATGAAGCAACATAAAGGGATGTCTGAAAACACAAATGCAAGAGAAGTCACAAAAAACCTCAAAACAATACAAAGCTTGACATGGCATGTTAGGAAATAATGAAAGCCACATAAGCCTTCATGCAATCTTAAGATAAATCAACATCAGAAGTCACATACACACCCAAATTCACTGCTATCAAATTCATTTGCCATGTAGCTGAGATTTTCTGGCTAGTTAACATAGTTTCAAAGTATTTCCCCATCTTCTATAGAAGTTGCCATTCACGTAGTACCATCATAGCCATTTCCTCGTGGAGAAAATCAATACACAAGTCACAATCGATGGAGAAAACAGATAAAAAGGTATTTGCCTTGTCCAAAAAATTATGCAAGTGGAATAAATATGTCCTATTCTATTCTTCAGGTAGGCAAACAGTAGACATCTGTAAGTTAAACCTGCCAAGAAAGAGTGGGAGTAGCTAAAGTCAGGTCAAGTGAATAAAGGTTACAGTTCTGTTTATAAGGAAGGGAGAGAATCAAGATTATAGTGTTTGGGAGTTTTTACAGCAGAAATGACTCCATGAAATCAATTCTGACGTTACTGCTGTTTCAGTTCTCCATTGCAAGATACCAGTGTAATTAATAAACTACTTTCATCACATGAAATTGGTATCAGGTGATGTTTGATGCCACAATTCTTTCATAAGTTGTTGAGAAAAAAATAGGCAGCTCTGATTCAAACTCCAGTCAATTTTCTGGAGACTCGATACAGTGCTCTTCTGACCAAAGCACACATGGTAAAAGGAGGAATGGAATATTGGAGACACAGAAGAAGCTCAAATTCAGTTTTAAACTTTCTCTAGATCAAGTATTAGAGAACAGAATTTAAAGTGGGATTCCAATTGCATTGCTGTAGTCTGTAAGGTGCAAATCTACCCTACCATGGCACTGGGCCATTCATCTGAGGCTCATTTTCTAGACAATCAAATACTAATTCACTGCTAAATAATTCTAAATTTGAAGGGACAAATCCTGAGTTCTGAATTCCCAGGTCTAGTTTGGGTTCTGCGCTTAGAGCAGGGGCAGGCAATTATTTCAGGCAGAGGGCCGCTTACCAAGTTGTGGCAAGCTGCCGAGGGCCGCATGGGTAACCCTGCCCCTTGACAGGTGCCCTGCCCCCTGGTCACCATCTTGGGACCAATGTCCCAGGGCCAGCACCGGTGGGGCCCACAGCAGGGAGCAGACTGGCAGGGGTCTGTGGAGCCGGGCTGGGCTGCACCAGCA